ATACAAAATTTAATACTTATCAAGCCCTACACCCTTTAAAAACCTCTTCTTTTTAGACAATGTGAAATGAAAACAATTTTTGAATAATGCGTGATTTTTTATTTAGGAATTGTTTATTCAGAGGAAAAATTACACCTGATATGTTAGTATTGCATTTTTCATAATATTCTTTATAGCTGAATTTTTTTGGATAAATGACATGCAAAAGAAAAACAAGAGAAAAACCTCTCCTGTCAAAAAACAGTCAGCAAAAAATATAGACACAAAAAACCCCAAGCTCCAGTATACTTCAGTTTATTTCAGAGATCAGTTACATTTTTATTTTATTCTACCTAATTTCATTTTTTTGTAACAAAGTAGAATACCTTTAGTAATACTGGAAGCTAATACTGAAAGGTGCAATTCAACTAAGTCTTCTCCAAGACAAGCCCAAGTGATTCCAGCTTCTCCCAGCAGCAGCTGAAAAGTCTTTTTGAATAAAGCAAATGAGGGAAAAATGAATGCCTTGTGTTGCTGAGCATCCCCAGAGGAATTTCATATCCTCGTGCCTAAACCAGCTTCATAAAGACCTCTTTTCATGAAGCTAAAATTCAGCTTGTTGCTCAGCACACACATCTCATGCACTTCTTATACTTTAAATATTTAAAGTAGCTACAGTTTGAAAATGAAATATTTAAATGTATGTATTATGGCATCACATCAAAGTACAATTTAGTAGACTTATGCACTGCTTATTATCACTGTCTGTGCTTTGGTGAAATTAGTGAGAGCTGTAGCTAAATTGAGGTGTAAGTAAAGAATGCCGAATAGAGCCTTGTGTCAGGCATCTTCTATGATAATAGTGAATACATCACTTACAAGGTATAGGGAATGCATAAACATTAATATTCAAGCCTAGCATGAATTTTCTACTTCTAAATGAGTGATAAACTAATCTTACAATTCCATTATCCAAGGAGAACAGGTGACTTTATTATGCTGCCATTTCTCACTACTTTAAAAATGGCATTGATTGAATAATGAAGGGATGGAGAGTAATGTCACTTAGAAGGCTGTGGAGGACACAGTCTACTTTTAATTTTGCTCCTCAGACCTTTGCAGAATTGATGATCCAAATACGTCACACCATTCCACCAATTAAGATTATATTCTGGCAAAACAATTACTGGGTAAAAAGTGTTTTAATTATGCTCATCCAGAAGCAAGAAAGAGGTCCTAATGCTTTCTTAGTTTTTCTTATGGTGGAGGAGAAAGACAAGATTACATTGTTGCACCTTTCAAAAGACTATTGTGACAGACACAAATAATATTATAATTTAGCTTTTGGCTAGTTTCTAAAAGTTATTTTCTAATGATGTAGTGGAAATAGGTGAAGTTAGATAAAAGGGGGAAAAAGATTAATAGGTAACTTCCTTTGTCATTGAGGCCAGTTTATTTTTATATCAACAAAACTCAATAGGTCTTTCCTAATTTAAATGTTAGTATGGCTAAAGCATTCTGCAGAAATTCTCAGATCCAGGAACTCTTCATGAAGCAAAACAGAATAAACCATTGATTCATCATGAGTAAATATGAGTTTTCCATCAGAAATATTGCATACATAGAAGTACTTTATTTGTGAGACTGAACTTTCATAGATTCCTTGCAAATACCAAATTGCCCACATCTTGTCCATTTTCTTCTCTTTCAGAAAAGCAGAATGCAGACCTTTGTAAATATTTTTCTGGGATTTTTTATCTTTGAGTCTGTTGGAGCTGCACCTATCACTGATAACATAATTTATGATTCTGAGTTCTATGATGTACCACTTGGAGAACTGCCTCACCTATTTGTCTATGATGAAAATGAGCAATCTGACCAATTAGAGGTAATCTGAACTTCATTTATTCTAACTTTCCAAAGTCCACTGATGAGTTTCTGTTGGCCATGAAAATAATTATCAGCTGAATCTACTCCTGTGGTTGCTACTGCCTTTGGTTGATCAACAGTTTTCTGTGATAATCATACACTGTAGTTCATTCCCATTTTTCCTAATCTACAAATGTGTCAAAAATAATTCCTGGGGTTTTTTTGGTGGCAATCTCTGAGAGCAGGTGAAAACTACCATGCTTCCTTCAGGTCTCCTTGCATTGCCACAGTTTCTGCTGGAGACTGTCTTTGTGATTTACCTGTCTGGATGAGGCATGGAGGCAGCTAAGACAAGAAATCCAGCATTCTCCATCAAATGAGGTTGTAAAATGCTGTTTCCCAAGATTATTTATTGTAATAATAGATATGTTCAATACAAATAGTACAGGCTATAAATGCTAGTGGTTTCTGTTTCTATTAGGAAAGTGGGCAGACGGAAGTAAAACAGAAACTGGGAAGCATTTGAATTGAAACACAGGAAAGAAAGAAAGATTATGGAAAAAAAACTGTTGAAATTCTGTTACAGTGGGAAATAGTAAGATGTGTTGCCTGTACAAGCAAGAGACTCCATTTGTTGAATTAAATGCCTCCTTCCCCTCCTACATTCCTGTATTTCTTTACATTACTAAAAGGTGCATTAATTTAATCACATTCTGCTGCTTAGACATAGGCGCAACTTCTCTGAAGGTGATATATGCACTGTATGATTCAGGATTAAGTGTGCTAGAAGTTGAGTGAAAAATATAACATGTAAATAATTTTTTTTTTCTTTTTACAAATAATATTTTAGTACTTTTTCATATAACAGTACATAATTAATGGAAATGTTCGAGTGATTCATGATTGCAGTAGGAAGGACAGGAACTCATCTTTTATCAAGGTGAGATAAAAACTGCATAGCAGCCTTGAAATCAAAGAGCAGAGACAATTTAAGTATAAATATATCCCAAAACTGAAGAGAACTGAAAAGACAAAAATCTTCTCAAACTTTGCACTAAGATCAGAACCTTAAAGTTTGGAGGAAATAAATTTTCTCATCTCCTTGCATAAAAAGAACTGAGAAGAACTCTGCACTAAAGACATTACTTTGCCTCTGCCCTGCTTCCTTGTGCCATGCAGTAGCAAAGCTCTTTACATACCCATGCACTTGAGCTTTCTTCCCTAATAAAGTCAACCCACTTTTAGTCACAGGATACTTGTGCTTTCGCTGTTTCACACTGACTGAAAGGTCACGGTTCCTGTCTTTGCCCCTAAAAATGAAGCCCTTCTCAGTCCTACAGAAACAGCTTCCTTCCCAGAAATGCGAGAGGCTACTTTGTATGTGCCTCACCACAGAGATTTTCTCATTCAAACAACAGATTTCTTAGTAATGCATTGAATGTTAGGTGGGACTCTCCTGTGCTGTGCTCTTTCTGTGAGGTCCTGAAGCATGGGGTGATCCCTTTTCAAATTTCTGAGTAAAGGACAGAGACAAGGGAAGGCTCCTGTGGTTCTTTTCCAGCTGAAAGGAAATTCAGGATGATCAATATTGCACCCAGCAAGAAAAGATACAACAGGTTCTACCACAGGCTGCTTTCTTTAGGCAAGCATGGAACAGACAGTGTCCAAAACCTCTTTATTTTGCCTTGTAAAATTATTTTCCAGAGCAGGATTGTCTCCCACTACTGAGCTCTTCAGACAGCCTTCTTAAAATTCAACAAGTGAAGGTCATCCATCATAGCAGTTAGAAGGAATGTTACTTTGCATATGGATGGACCTCCCTGTGAGAGCCTTTTTTTCCTAGCTGTTTAGCCAAAACATTTTTGGGCTTACATTCCTCTTATGATGTACCACCTAAAAGAAACCTAAGCACTCATAGCTCCCCTGAATCCAGGAGAGCCCAGAGTGGTCAGTGCTGTAGAAATTAAGCAGCTTTTATAAACACGCATGTCAGTCTAGCAAGTTATCTTTCAGACACTGAATGTTATTGACATCATTCAAATTTCAAATAGAATACATTTGATTGATTGTGATTACAAATTTCCCCCCTATAATCCCGTTACAAAGATGCAAACTACACTAGTGGCTCTGTGTGTAAAATCCAGTATTTATGCAAGGTCACAGGTTAGTTTTTATTATGCATAGCTTAAATGATGAGCAATAACACAGAGACCCAGACAAACTGCAGGCCTTCATTAGATCAAGCTTGTGTACAGTAACTCTTTAGGGCCTGATTTAGGGTCTGCATTTCCTTTTAGAGAATTCTGAATCATGTACTTAGCCTTTTGAAATAGTGGAGGAAAAAAGAAATAGCATTTTCTGTTCTTGTCGTCTTCAATTTAAGATTTTAAAATTCAATTACGTGCAAATACAAGTCATTCTGTTTAACAGGTTTTTACACTCACTGGAGAAATGCAAACTTTTCCAGCCAGCTGATTTTCATCATGTCCAGACTGACTGGTTCTAGGATTTAAGATGCATTTATTTGGTTTGTTGCTGCTGTTGATTTCAATGGGAATTAGGCAACGGTGCTTCTTCAGGAATTAAACTAAAGTACTTACGTCAGTATATCCTTTCCAGAATATCATCCATTGGGTACTATAATCACTCGTTCAATGTGTAACCACCAAAATTAGGAAAGACCTAGGGGTAATGAGGGAGGGATTCCCCCCACTCATTTTATCCAGCTAAAATTAGTTGTTGCATCCCAAGACCATCCTCCGTATCCTCCTGAGATATCTAGAGTGGTGAGTTGACTTTGACTGGCTGCCAGATGCCCATCAAGCTGCCTTCTCAACCACCTCCTCAGAGAGACAGGAGGAGAAATTAAGATTAAAAACTCCTGGGTTGAGATAAAAGCAGTTTCATGAAGAAAAGCAAAAATTGTCTGCAGAAGCAATAAACTTGTCTTCCTCAAATAACTTTAGATGGACCCTAGGCACCTGTCTCAGGCTTAGCATCAAAATTTCAGCTTAATAAAGAGTCACTGTCCAAGTTCATGACTCCTTTTCCATTTCTCATATTTTGGAAGTATTTTTCCTTGTAAAGTATGTATGCCAAAAATTAAGTGTATGCATGTAAATACACACACACTTCACTGGCTTGCAAAAGTTTTTCTGGGAACATTTTGTCTGGATTACAGCTGCTGATATTTTTTCATTTGAAATATGTCTATTTTTATCATAGATTTTAGAGTAACTTTGAGGTTTGGAAAAGTTACTTAACACTGGAAATCAGAGGTTATCTAGCATTGCCTGCTAACATTCACAGATCTGCTTCATTTCTCGCATTCCTTTCATAGTATTCAATATGTGTAGATGGAATGCATCTTTAATGCAAAGATTTTGCAGGGGAAAAATACTTGTGGCTGTGAATTACCTGGGAGAATTGCATTGAATCCTCAATCAAAGCTATGCATTGTCACGTATTAGATGTGTCAAATCTGGTCTATAAAATCCGTGGTTTCCAAGTTCCCAAGTTAGTATAACATGGAAGATCTAGTTAAAGCTTTGCATCCAAAAGGAAACTGTTACTGAAAGAAACATTAAGTAATATATCACTCAGAAACAAAATAGGTGTAGAGACTTTGGAGAAAAAAGTATAAACACTTTCACAGATAATGGTTAAAAAAAAACCCACAAAGTAAAAGAAAACTAAACTACCAAGGAAGAAATTTGAAGGTCCTAAAGGAGAAAGAGGCTGCAAAGAAACGTCACTGTAAGATAGTGTGCAAGCTTTGTGTGGGATTTATCTTCTGAAACTGACAGTTAAAACAGTATAAACATGAGCTGCTGTATCGCCCTTTTTCTTCACAGTAATTTCATTATTATTTTCAATGAATATTTATATCATTATAGAGTCAAGAGGCCCTGCAGACTGGGTCTTCATTGTCCCAGCTGTTCTGCAAACATATAAAAAGACAGATTTCCTTCTTTAAAATGGATACAATCAAGCCAGACTGTCAAAGACATTCTTGTGTAAGCTTCTCATGGATTAAACAGAAGGCTCAGAGTTTTTTCCTCTTTGAAATTAAAACTTTGTTTGGATAGAGAGTGAGAAAAACGAATTGTGGAGAGAGATTCCTATGTACATCTGCTACTAATGTCTAATAAAATCATACTGCAGACTTCTGATTACAGTGCTTGTTAAACATAACCAGTCTATTTACCTTCAGGAAAACCTAAGTTAGAAAAATAAGAATTAAAATACAGGGGCATCACAAAAATATTTTCATCAATAAAATAGGCTATCAGTGAGGCTGAGAAGCAAGGGAGATATCCTAGCACTGAAAAAACAGAAAAAGAAGGGAACTGAATACAGGTTGGTCTGGGTCTCTGTACACAGGAGAGGTGAGCTGGAAGGTATGATCCACAACATAATCATAAACAAGCACTGTGAAAGCCTAATATTTGATCCTCCATTAGCTTGCTGAATTTGAATCAAACTGATCATAGGATATTCAAGTGCCTGCACAAAGCTCAGAACTTGAGTCATACACACATTCACTTACATGAATGCATGTATGCTAACGTATAAAGCATCTCTGCTGTTGCCATAACATTTCTAAAAAACTTATGAATTGGAACAGGTAATGTAGAAGTCAGAGAACTACATAGTTGATAAAAGAACTAAATTTACCATTTCAAGTTTTATCCCCAGATAGTAAATTTTCTACTTTTTCAGAAAGGCTTTGACTTTGGCTCACTTGGCTACTCATAACATATTCCATATGCTTCTGTATAGATGTCTTCAAAAAAGGTGAATATTTCTGTGGATTAAAAAGTAGTCATGAAATACCTGAGTAACTTTTCAACTAATTAGTCATATAGCAAAATCAAATACCACAAGATGAAAAAGAAAGATTTCAAACAGCATGTTAGTCCCTAAAGTCTAGTACAACAATCCAAGACATTCTCAAGCACCTAAAACTCTGACAGTGGATGTGTTATTAATTACCACTACTTCAGTGGAATAGAGTAA